GCACGGGTGTACCGCAACTCCTCTGGGACTTTCTTCCCCGACTGCCACATCAGGGTCAGAGACGTGGACATGCCTGTGTGCCTGGTGGGGGATGTGGCCTACCCGCTACAGTCCTGGCTCATGAAGCCCTACACGGGACACCTCAACCCCTCCCGGCAGGCCTTTAATGCCAGGCTCAGCAGGGCCTGCATCATGGTAGAGGGTGTCTTCGGCTGGCTGAAGGCCTGATTTAAATGCCTCCTCACCTGCCTGGACCTCTCCAAGAATAATATTCCGCACATGGTGGCGGCGTGCTGTGTGCTGCACAATTTGTGCGAAAGGAAGGAGGAGGCTTTCCTGCCAGGTTGGATGGCAGAGGCTAACCACTTGGCTGGCCTGTATGCGCAGCCCTGCACGGCTGCCAGCCGGGAGGCCCATCGGGAGGCTGTCGGTATCTGGGAGGCCCTGCAGGAGAGCTTCCAGACAGAGGAGGAGTGAAGTCTCCCTGGCATGCCCCACTGGGGCCTTGTGCCTTATTCCACCCTCACATCTTTCCACTTTCCCCTCCCTAACCCCCCTTCCTGATGTAAAATAAAAACATGTGTGTTGCCAGAAACAAACTCTCTTTATTGAACATAACTGGGGTGGGGGGAGGGGAATGAGGGCGGGAGAGGGGAGAGGGAAACCTGGGAGGAGGGAGCTGGACAGGAGAGGAAGGGGAGGAAAGGAAGGGAAAGCTCAGGGTTCGGGGTCTTGCAGGCTCTCCTGTCTCACAGAACTGGGGTGAGGGGGGCGTTGGGGAGGAGTGGGTGTGGAGGGTGGGGCAGGAGGGACGGGGGCAGAGGAAGCAGGAGGGGAATGAGGGCGGGAGAGGGGAGAGGGAAACCTGGGAGGAGGGAGCTGGACAGGAGAGGAAGGGGAGGAAAGGAAGGGAAAGCTCAGGGTTCGGGGTCTTGCAGGCTCTCCTGTCTCACAGAACTGGGGTGAGGGGGGCGTTGGGGAGGAGTGGGTGTGGAGGGTGGGGCAGGAGGGACGGGGGCAGAGGAAGCAGGAGGGGGAGCAGGGGTGGGAGGTGGAGCAAGAGCTGGGGCAGCTGCAGGGGCTGGGGCAGGA